CCGGCTTCGAGAATATTCTCTTGATTTGTGGGAATTTGTTGAGTACTTCGACAGAACCGACGGCTATTTTGCGCAACTGTTGACCAATACTACCGAACTCATCGAAACAGGCGATGGAATACATGGGCAGCACATGGAGCTGTTCGTCCAGCGGGTGGTCGACCCTCGAGCCCCGGTGTTTGGTGAGAGTGACCACAACTGTACTGCCGTTTTGCATATTATGTAAATCCTTGTGAGAGTGGGCACAGAAGTCCAGACACGCCGTCACTCCACTGAATGGTCGTCCCTTTCCGTACCCTATCCTACATTCAGAGCCTTCCCTCTCGAATGTCACCTAATTTTAAGCCATATTTGAGTTTTAATTATGAATTTGTTGATTAAAAATATTTATTCATTCAATCGATGAGCACCTGATTATTGTAAGCGTCGGGAGCTATTGCCTTATAGAGTGGTACCAAACCGGTGGCCAATGTCTGCAAATGGTACTCGAGCTCCGATTCCTGTGTCCGAGTATTTCGAGAGACAATTTGGTGTCAAAACAAATCACACACTCATTGACTGAAAACCTGATGGCGTTTCGTGAGCCGAAACTTTCGGACGTTATGGCGCTGACTGTCCCTGAATTTACAGCCGTCCCTAAACATAGACCAACTGCATCCATATGAATAACAGGCGCCGTTAGTCCTCCCATCCAAGCCCTGACAGCCGCATGTCTTCCTATAACCGCAACAAAAAATACCGAAGTTTTTGACGTCAACACAAACTCTAAACCCTTTTCTCTGATTCAATGATAATTACGAGTCGTTTTGAGCGCATCGTCTTTGAGTGGAAATCCCGTATTCATTGACTTTATATACGATTATATCGTATAACTTGTCGGCAAATGGACTGTCAATGGCATCCCAGACCACAATCGACACTACTATATAAGCGGCCGAACACTTGTGGCCCTTCCGGTATCGGACCAGAGCTAACACCACCTCCTGATCGCTGGATCGGCGCACCACTGATTTGGCTATCGGACAGCCCTCACGGGATTTGCCCTCCTTTTCCATATAAACTACTATTTCTATTCGTATGGCTGTGCCGTACAAACCCATTCTGGACCACAAATACGTTAAAACTCCAGAATATTCTGTGCACAGAATCTATACAAACCTTTTCTCAAGAATTTGTCGGATGCCATCGACTGACGAGGAATATCCTAATTGTTTATAATATGGAATACTCGGCACTGGAATCGCGACATTCAAGCGGTTATTCATATATGAAAGAAGAGTTTCGTGTGTTTTTATGTCACATATAATTCATGCCAAGAATTTTCATGTCATTTCTGATAACCATTTGATTTGATGAATAGGTTTGCAAAGTCTTCGCGTCATTACATGCTTTACATACATCCGGACGACTAAATCATCAGTTATTGACTACAGAATTGACTGAAAACTTCATATCGGATGACATGCCATACATGACAAGAGAGCAGAGAAAATGATTACCGAATCTATCAATCAATCCGATTGGCAGTCAAACCATCAATCAATTGGCAGACAAACTACAGAATTGACTGAAAACTTCATATCGGATGACATGCCATACATGACAAGAGAGCAGAGAAAATGATTACCGAATCTATCAATCAATCCGATTGGCAGTCAAACCATCAATCAATTGGCAGACAAGCACCGGTAGTTCAGTAATGAAATGTGAGTCAAGTATTGATTTTATTTTCAAAATTCTTATATCCATTCCTTCAAAACAATTCATTAATTCTTTACAAAACAAATGGAAATAAATTGAACGACAAATTGTTTTTTATCATAAAAAATAGGTTTTTATTAATATTATAAAACCTGAAAAATTTATTCATTTTTTACGTTATTATACTATAATAATAATTAATAATAATAATCATAATAATTAATATTATGGCACATCTGTGTAAATAAAAAGAGAGCATTCATTCAAATGTAAAACAAAAATGTATTTATGATATAATTATAGACAAAATTGGAATCTCGTATACAATACTTAAAAACACTAAAAAATTAATGTATATCTAAAAAATTTCATTATTCAATAATAATTATCAAAAAAGAGATTATATTAAGAGATTTGTTATTCATTGGCAGATAATAATGTATAATAAAATAGTTTTGTATTTATATTGGGCTACAAAACAACAGGCAGTAGTTATTCTGTATATAATATACTCATTGAGAAACTTGTTTTTGGTATGAAATAATAGGTCCCACACTTTGAGAGTGTATTCATTTCTCTTATATTTCAATGCAATCTTTATTATACAATAGACTTAAAACAATATCGCAATCTTCATTATATATATAATATAGTAATAAAGTATTTGTTTGTGTCTCGTCTGTAAATGTGAGTTTCAAATAGACTTCAAATATAAAGCTACAGTATTTGACATTTGAGAAAACATTTAGAAAAACGCTATTATTTTAATTAGATTTCAATCCAATCATAAAATGCATCATAATTTATATTATAATTTAATAATCGTTTTGTTTTGTCATATAATTAGTGAGCATAGAATCAACACTGTATTACATTAGTTATCAATTTATTAATGAGGTTTTCGTATGGTTTACACAGTAGTTAAATGCAAAATAAATGTCACTTTTTGTTGTAATTTACAAATCACTGCTTGAAATCAATTAATATTACTCTATATTTTCACTCAATACAAGAATTGTATTTTTTTTGTCTACATTTCAGTGGGAAATTAAATTAAATTAAATTCAAAGATCGTTTCATATAAGAGAGAGACTATGAATAGAGTGTTAGAAATAGTGGGAAAAACACATTATTTTTATGCATTCAATATAAAACTCCTAATATTTATAAGTCATTGGCTTTGCATAGAATTTACATAAATCTGTCCAAAAGAGGTATTAATTTAATTGAAAAAATCAAACTTCAATTCAATCGACAATTCACTCGACCGTAAAAACGCACAAAATATATATAATAATTATATTAATAAAAATCATAATAAAAACAATTATATAACAAAAAACAATTTCTCTCGTCGTATATATCGTGTGAAGAAAATCTCACATAAAAAGCATTTTGAAAGTCGACTAATAATTATTAGGAGAGATTACAGGTGTGTGAGTGGACTGTCAAATCAAATCAAAAATACTAATCAAAACACTAGCAATGAAACCAAATGGAGAGCACCGTTAGGTTTATTACTAGATATGAGGTGCAAAATGAGGTAGAAATGTCCTGAGGTTTTAGGTGCACATAACTTACAAATGATAAACTTATTATAAATTAAATATCTATCGCGTCGGGGGTATAAACAAAGCTGAGGTGTGTTTTTTGGGGTCATCGCTGGGCTATGCTATCAAAACATGTATTTCTCGATCTATTATTACATATAAATTGAAAAATAAATGTTTTATGTCTTCTCCAGAAATTGTGATTTTGGTTTAGTTTCTCAATCAATAATATTAATACTATTTTTCAAAAACATCAAAAAACAAGGGAACCGTTACTGTTATTTGTTTTGTTTGCGAGTGTATTGTAATTGTGACATAACAGCCCCATTGTGAAAATATAGCTACCAATCAATTGATATATAAGTAAAAAATACTTGTATTCAGAAAAACAAATTACACATTATTTTCATGATTCTGTATATAATTTATACTTTTGTTTCGAGAGTTTTCTAATTTAATTAATTCCAGCCCTCAATGAATTGCGAGATTTCATTGTAGGATAACATTGAATATAATCTTATAATTTAACGAAGAAATGACTAAAATATGTACTAAATTACAAGAGAATTGTCGTTTTGTTTGGTCACAAACATAATCATTGGATGGAAATCTTATCCCAAAGAGTCGTTTCTAATCTCTGAAATTATCTGTCATTTTTAGTTTTGGTTTTATATATAAATAAAGTAAAAAATATTTTATGTATCAAGAATTGATGTGTTTATGAGATATAATCGCTGCTAAAAACTATATTTCACTTTCATATATATATAGAAATTCTTGCAAAAAAATAAAAAATAAATCTCTAAGAAATGTTATGCAAAAAACTATGCAATCAAAAATAATTATATAAAATTACAATTTAGTACTAAATGGCTATTTTATATATACTTTTTCTGTTTACTTTAATTAATGAAATACTTTTTACTCTCATATTTACAATAATGTGAGCGACGGCTTAATTACTATCAGTCCATAGACTACTGGTTAGTCTACACACAAAATATAAGGTTTGCATTGGATTTTCATTAGTCCTACAAAGCGGCTAACTTTGATCGAAGGCTGAAATTAATTTCATTGACATTTGATTACTTATATAATTATTATAATAATCAGATCATTTCAATTGATACGAAACTGTTAATAATTTGCAAAAATATTATATAAATATTGTGATGTATATATAGAGAGAAAACTGATATTTTAAATACTTATATACACTATCTTATGGTATATTTTAGTGTGTTTTACGAGTTGACACAAAAAAACTTGTCATATATTTTCATATATAATATATAAAACTTCAAAATAAAAACAAACATTTCTTTTTGTCGTGGAAAACAAATAGAGAGAAAACTGTGTTTTAAAAAGTGTGAGCAATAAATTTGACAATCGATTTGAATGTTTCAAACAAAACAATTGTTTGGCACAAACTGTACTTTAAATATATTTCCCAAATAAAAAACATTACAATTAAAAATTGAATAAACAAATTAAGAGACAAATTCACGAATCATTGTATGAAATGATTGTTTGCAATCGTTTTTTGCATTCAGTTTTTGCTTTCATTTTCAGTTTTGATGGCATTTGTGTGGCATTGGTTTCGGTATCAGTAGTTCAGTGGCACAAAGGTTTCGATAAGTCGATAGACAGAGACAGACAGACATACAGATAGACAGAAGTAGTTGTATATTAAGTATAAAAGTGTGGTGCGATTCATATATCATATCATATGTCATGTGTGTGTATGTGTCAGTTGGACAGGGATGCTGGCAAAGTAGTCGCGTGTGAAGGACTGGTGGAGCCGTTATACTCACGTTCGTCGGGCGCATAACACTCGCAATCGTTCGGGTCTTTCGTATTCATCTTCAGCCGATCGATGTGTCTGTCGGCCCACCAGTTCTGGTCCCGAAAGTTGGGCAACAAAAAGGTGGACACCGGCGGCAACACTGTCGTCGCTGTCGGGCCCGACAACGATGTCATCATATGGTGGTGTTGTGAGTCGAATGGCGATGAGCTGGAGGTCGGGTCACACATGGGGTCACTCTTGATGAACGACGTCATCGACGTTAAGTCCATAAGCGTGAGTCCCGTCTGATGGGACGGGTCTAACGGATCCGCAATACGACCACAATCTATGCCTGACATCATGTGACCGACCGATGTCTGCGACTGTTGTTCATCGGCCACTGACTTCTTAGTGGCGTCGAGACCAGCGCCGGAGACACTCATTATCACAGTAGGACTGCTCGGGTCGAGTAGGCCTATGGAAGGCATGTAGAGGGATGAGGGGTAGAAAGCAGGTGACTGTGACTGCGAGGTGGGGCTCATGTTATATGAACTGATAATACCTGTGCAAACAATACAGAAAATAGTGTCAATTAATGGTCAACTCGAGCAATGAATGTCACGACAATCACGTGATGTTCAGGCCGAGGATGTGGTGAATGGCATTACCTGTAGATGTATTCATAGATGTTGTCAAATCTGAGTGGTTGTTGTTGTTGTTGAAGGGGTGCATAGTTGTGGTCGTATTCACTAAAAAAGGCTCCGTCTCTATGGTTTGGTCGTTTGGGTGATGGGATTGCATACCGTTGACCGGTATTGTCGTCGTCACCATTGGCTCGCTCTTCACACTACTGGCCGGCGAACGACTGGCCCGACCGGGCGATGACCGCGAGTTGGGTCGTGGACTCTGCCTCGAGAGCGTATGATTGACGGTATGGTTAGTGTCGTGTAATGAGTACTCTTGAGGCGGCGGCGATTGAAATGGTGAGTGACTTTGGTTCGTGGTGTAGGTGCCGGCGCTCGTTGTGGTCGGTATGAACGGCGAGTGCGGGTTATTATTATTTAACTTTTTATTACTATTACTACTATTATTGCTGTGATTATTATTAACATTATTATTATTATTGGTATTGTTATTACTATTTTGGTTATCATTCGTGTTATTAAACTGTGAGTTATTATTAAACGAGTGATAAATGGATCCGTTCTGGAGTTCCACCGAATTATACGTCCGCCTCTCCAGCGACTGATGTCCGGCTAACTTATCACTGATAATCCCATTCGTATTCTTGTGGTACGGGCTATCGGTATCCATGTGCTCCTGAGCTGGTTGTGACCAATTCATGTGAAGGAACTGCTGCTGCGGTTGTTGACCAGTGTCTGGGTTTGGCTGCGGCACAGATGTCTGTCCGTAATGGGGACTCAACGACGTGTTGTTGCCATTACTGGACTGTTGTTGGACTACAATAAACGTTTGGCCTGTAGTTCATGACAAGCAAACACATCATTAAAATTGTTGTTTTTGTAAAACTTTTTGCACTAATGTCTGAGAAAATTATGTTTAAATAATAAAAATACTGTTCCCTCAGACTGTGCGCTAACCTGGAAATGATGACAATGGGGGCGGGGGTGCGGACAGTTGGGGCGGCGGCTGTTGTTGAGCCACTGGACCAGAACCGCCGCCAAACGAGTTGTGATTTTGTCCGGAATTCAACTCTTTCTGGTTCTGTCGGCTCTGTATCAACGACTTGAGCCTATTGTTCATAATCTGATGCCTATTCACGTGAGTATTATCTGTCGGCGCGCTATTCACGCC